GCTGAACCATTTTATGCTAATTAATTCTGTGGGATATATCCCTCCTCTTTTAATTTATTCCCTCTTCTTCTCCCATTTCTACTTATAACCATCCCTGCCAACTACCTACATTTCACTGTTAAACTGTTTGCATAGCATTCATGATTTTAAAGCTTCCTTGTATTGCCTTTGGGCATTTGGCTGAAATACACTGCCTCCAATTTACAAGTAAATATAGAACAAATCCAGAGACCTTGTACTGGTAACTGGCAATAAAAATGCTAATGACTTAGTGGCAGTGTTTATAAGAAAATGTTAATTTTTAGGGTAAAATTTCATTAGAAATTGCTTTGGGAAATATATTAGTTAATGTTTACGAGTGTTTTTGAAGGAAGGCAAATGATTGCCACTAAAAAAAAAATCTCATGGAAAGCATCTCCATTGAATCCCTCTGTTTTAAAAATACTTCACTTGGTATCTTTATTTTCATTTGTTAAATACAAGGCCATCCTTTAATGTTGTCTCCAGCTTGAAATAGTTTGAGACCCAGTGGATAATTCTGACCAGGAAGTATCATTGGACAGTGGGCAGGGCAGTCAGAGGGAAAAAATATTATAGGACCTTGACGATGGGGACGGGTTGGAACACTGACAATAAATAGTAGGAGAGTGACAAAGAGGCTTTCCAAGGGATGTTCATATTTCTTGATCTATGTAATTTGATATTTATTGTATATAGAAATCCAATAACTATTTTGAAAAGCCCCACTTACACCAATAATTCTTCTACTTTAGATTAAAAGTACCTAGGAGGCTAGGTATTTCCCATATTTCTTTCCTTAATGTTTAGAACAGGAATATGCCTGGAGCAGACATCCAATAAATATAAATTACTAATAATAATGACTGAGCTACTTTATTAGCATAGTATAATTCCAGGGGCTTCCCTCCTGGTTTGTCTGATCCTAAGCCTTTAAATACGTGTTTATATGTCAGAAAATCAGCATTAGAAACTCTCTGGGGCAAATCATAAAATATTAATTTGATACATGTTTAAAAACTCACCTTTGGTGTTATGAAATAATCCCTCTAGTGAGAAAAAAAAGTCCATTTAAAAAATCTTAAACAGTCAAAGCAGATGTCACTGGTTAAGAGTCCAGTTGATCAATAACGTTTCACAATCTCTATCAGCATCAGGAGAAAGGCACTTAGCATGTCACTCTTAAAACGATCAGCACCAAATTTCCACAGTTGCGTTTCCACAAAACGCAAATGGGTTTTTAATGAGACCCCTAATTTTTCTTCGCTCGCAAACCAATTTCTGCAGGGTCAAAGTTCTGGCCACCACAGATACCGTCCTCCTAGATATAGGGACTCACTTAAGGACCACTTGGTGTAACATTCCTCCTGACAGCGGCTGGAGGCAGGTGCGTTGGACATGTTTTTAACTAACGAACGCAATCGTTTCAATTCATATTATTCTCTTGCCCTAAAAGTATGAGTTGGTTTCCATACCTACATTTTAACCCAGTCTCTTCCCCGGCAACGCCACCTGTTTGCTCATCTTTCACAGGGCGAGGCGACCAGAACACTTCTGATGCAGCGTACTCTTTACCCTAAGAGGAGAGGGCTGACGGGGCACCCAGACCTTGCCTCCCCTCGCCGAGGTTCCAGCTCCGAACACCTGCCCCCTTTAGGATTCGGTTCATCCGGCAACAGCCAGAGGGGTCCAACCCAATCATCCCGCCTGGCGCGGGAGGGACTCGGACAAAGTCCGCGCCACAGGGGCCGGGTTCTAGAGCGCCCGGCGGAGGGCAAGGCGAAGGGGCGGAGTGAGCGCCATGACGCCAGGAGCCTCGGCCAATGGAAACGCCCCGCGGCGCCGGCCGAGCCGCCAGCCTATAAAAAGGAGGCGCTCCGGCACTCCTCAGTCTCTCCTGTTCCGGGCTCGGAGCGTACCCCTGGCCCGAGGCCTACCTTATTCAGGTGATTGCGGTCACAGTCCATTGCCCGCCGGCGAAGTTCAGTTGCAGCCCCTGACGCTTCCGAGGGTCCCTCCGGGGCGGCAGCGGCAGGTCTATGGAGAAGGGCCCGAGGCGGGTGCAGGCGAAGCCGCGGGACGCCCGGTGCAGCAATGGGTTCCCCGAGGGGGAGCCGCCGCGGCCCAGGCCCAGCACGCCCACCGAGAAGCAGCCGCGGCCGGAGAGCAAGAGCGTCCAGCCGGCGGACGGCTGGAAGGGCGAGCGGCCCCGCAGCGAGGAGGACAACGAGCTGAACCTCCCCAACCTGGCGGCCGCCTACTCGTCCATCCTGCGCTCGCTGGGCGAGGACCCCCAGCGGCAGGGGCTGCTCAAGACGCCCTGGAGGGCGGCCACGGCCATGCAGTTCTTCACCAAGGGCTACCAGGAGACCATCTCAGGTCAGTGCGCCCGCCGGCCGGCGTGCCGGGCACTTGGGAGGTGGCTGCAGGAAGCGCGCGCCGGCTCCGGGAAGTTCCCGGAGTTGCTCACTCTTGGCGGAGGAAGCCGAGTGCTGTCACTTTCCGAACCCCGCCCTCGGCCCTGTCCCAGCTGTCCGGCCAAGGAGAGGGCCCTGCGTGGGACGCATTTCGGGCGCGGTGGGAGTCAGCGGCCTCTCACCCTGGTACTAGTTGAAGCGGCCCTCGCGGGGTCCCCCCGCTCGCTGCACGCGGCCCTCTCCTCCAGCCTCGGGTTGGCGGGACCGCAGTCACAGAGCCTCCCCATGTCCCTTACCCCCGCTCCCGGGTGGGAGCCTGGAGCCCTTGTCGCCTGAGCGCCCAGGGCCGGATGCCTGAGGAACGTGTACCTAGGCTCGTGGAAGTGACGGCTTCCTGGGTCATCTCTCTTCTGGAGGTCTCATTTTTGGTAGGTCTGGGGTGAAGCCTTGGCTTTGTGTGTCTGAAGCCAGGGGTGATTCTTTGCTGTAAACTCGGGGACCCTCACTCTCGCTGACTTGCCAGTGTACCCGGGTGTTCCGAAAGTCGTAATTCTCTTTTGTTCACATCCAGTTCACTCCAGCTCAGGACTTTGCCGGAATTTGGCATAGTTTTGGACATGGGCTTTCCTGGAGTTTGAAGTGTGAGGTTTTGGGGGGGTTAGTTTGCTGCTTAAAGCCTTCTCCGCCTTTTCTCCCCCACTCCCCAAACCCCAAAGCAGGAAAGCGACTTCCTGGGAGTCTGGGAGGTTCGCTGGGCTGTGAGACCCGGAGTCCCTCTATCACCCACTTCCCACCCACGCATCCCAAAGGAGCCGGGTTGGCCCAATGCTTTCGGTGCCTGAGGAGGGTCAGGTTTTTGCCCAGGAGGCCGGGAAGTAGGGGGCGCGGGGTGGCGGTGGAAAATGATTGAGGACTTCGCTGCCTAATTGCTGGATGAGCGATGTTGGTCACTAATTAAAAAAAAAAAAGTTAAAAAAAATCTGACTTGCACATCTCGGACCAAGGGCGTTGTTTTCCAGTTCACATCTTCTGTACCTCTTGGTGACATTTATTCCTTTGGCCTAAGAAGCCTTCTGCCTTCACCATTTCTCAAAGAATAACAGTGCTGCTTTGCAAGGTAACCTCCCTGCTCAGGTTATTTCTCCAGTCAAGTTTCTGGAGACTTCCTGAATAGATTCTGGGAAAAATAGTTATTTTTGCCCAGTCTCCCCCACCCCAAAGGAAGGGTGAGAAATCAGTGTGAGAGGGGTGAGGCACATAAAGGAAATGACACTACATCTTAAAGCCAAGAAATGGATATCTAGTTGTGTCCAAGTTTACTTTTTAAACCTTTGTTGGTAAAAGTTTGGAGCCTCAAATACAGAATTTCAAAATGCAAAGACTGAAGAATAAACATTCTTCATTTGGTGAATATTTTACCATTTGGTGATATTCCACGATGTAATGAAGAAACATCTTCTTAGGGCCTTGCTCAGTCTGCCTCTTGTGGCCACTGAAAGTGTCCACCGCACTTGTTCAGGCTTTGGGAATCGCCCTAATAGAATTCACAGGAGAGAGGGATTTCTGACCTTGAGAGTAAGGGAGGTCCTCCTGACTTTTGAGACCTAAAGTGTCTCAAAAGGTTTACTTAAGAAATGATTAGCAGAAGTTTGTCTCATGAGCCATAGGACTAATGACTGCAAAGAACACTTCATTCTACCTTAGAAGACAGTTCTGGTCAAGTGTTAATTTATTATTTAAAAAGTCCATGGACCTAGGAACAGAAATCAGATTAGGGGGACTCTAATCATCTCCCTACCCAAGAGGACCTGGGGGAGAGGGTGGAATGGGGAGTGACTGCTTAATGGGTTCCAGGTTTCCTTTGGGGATGATGAAAATGTTCTAGGACTAGAGAGTGGTGATGGTTGCACACATTGTGAATGTGCTAAATGCCACTGAATTGCACATTTTAAAATGGTTAAGATGATGAGTGTTATATGTATTTTACGACAGTGAAAATGTCACAGACCATTTAAGAATTATTAATAGCCATTAATTGAATACTTTTTATGCTCTAAGTGCTTTATGTGGATGGTCTTTGGTTAATCCTCATTTTTGAGGTAAACACTGTTCTTTTACCCCATGATAAGGAACCTGAGGCAGAGAGGTTGACAGCTTCAGTGGTAGAGCTGGTGTTGGAATCTAGGCAGCCTGAATGCAGAACTCATACCTGCTTCCTTTTGTTGCTACTTGGTGAGATATGTCAGTGTATCTTCTCTACTAAGCATTTCAAACTGAGTTTGGACCTAATACTTGGGTCACCAGCATTAAAATAAGGTGGAGTAGAATGGAGAAAATCAGTCTATCATATGTAGTAAGGGTAAATGTTTTGAGAAGCTTACAAGTAGGTTTTATAGGTATGATTTTTTCTGATATGTACCGGTTCCAGTTGTAGCATGTAGTATTTCTTGTATTTGTTGTGCTCAAAAGTTTGAAAGCCTCTGTCTAGAGGATCACACTTAAGGACTTAATATTGATTTCTTAGAGGTACATAAATAGAAGACAGAGAGGAGAGGATGACAGGGATGATGCTGAACTTAAAGGAATGAACCTGAAATGGTGGTGGTCCAGGCCTTGGACCAACCTGGGTGGGAGAAGGAAGGATACTTTAAATCTATAGAAAATACAGAAGTAAGTAATAGAGAAAACACTCCTACCCAATCCCTAATTTTTATTTCTTTAGAGAGTATAAGTCAATGACCACTATAGATTATTTTGGATAGAAGCAAACTTCTTTGAAACTGTCACTTTTCTATGCTTGTAGATAAGATACTTAACATCTTTTATATCTCTGTATATTAATTACTTGTTACTAGTGTTGACTTAAGTTTTGTAAAACATAAAATAAATAAAATAAGTTGGTACTTTACATTTCCCAAATTATTTTTTTTAGCTCCTCTTGAGTGAATTGATGCTAATTTCTGGTGTTTGGGGAATTTGTCAGTTCTCCCTGCACTGCAGCGTATTTTCATGACCCTTGCGTGGTACACCTTTCTTTACTTTCCAGTATGTACCTTATTATGGGTGCATCTGTGGTCACCTGTAATGGGGCTCTGTCAAGGTTGTGCAAGTCTCCTGGTTACTGTTAACCACTGGGCTGTAGCTTGTAGTGGAGGGAGGGCTGGAAGAGACACTATCACCTCTTCCAGGAATGGCTGTCCTTTGAATAGCATCACATGTCCTTTGATCCTTGGACCAGCTCATCTTTATCTGTTGCTATCCCATTTCAGTTTAACCACATCCTAGTTCTCTTACATATTCAGAGGACCTTTGATGAGGTCTTCTTTTCTATATATTTCCTGTATTTCCACTATTTTTAAAATTCAGAATCCTAATTAAATTGGAGGGTCTGCTGTTGCCTGAGGTCTTTGATCTTCATGTTCTTGTGTCTGACCCTTCCCTTTCCCTGTCCTCCCCTGGGTATAAATAGGAACAACCTCTTAGATAGTATTATCCATCAAAGGTTAAGTGAATGTAACTTGTCTCATCAGTTGTCCTTTTTATAAGTTTATGGGAGTACACAAGAGTCTTGAGTCTTCTGTCACATTTCTAGTTGAAGTAGGTTTTAGCTTGTCTTATCCAGGATGCCAAGGCAGTTTTCATAAATCAAGTTGGCAGTGTCCCAGATTTGGGAAGCCTGTGAGCCTGTATGTAATGCAGGAAGAGGAGATGGTATCACAGGTGATGGACTTCTTATAAATTTATTTATTTTATTTTTTAAATTTATTTTTTGGCTGTGTTGGGTCTTCGTTGCCATGCGCGGGCTTTAGTTGCGGCGAGGGGAGGCTACTCTTCATTGCAGTGCGTGGGCTTCATTGTGGTGGCTTCTCTTGTTGCGGAGCACGGGCTCTAGGCATGCGGGGTTCGGTAGTTGTGTCACGGGCTCAGTAGTTGTGGCGCACGGGCTTAGTTGCTCTGCGGCATGTGGGATCTTCCTAAACCAGGGATCGAACCCATGTCCCCTGCATTTGCAGATGGATTCTTAACCACTGCACCACATGGGAAGTCCCAGTGATAGACTTCATGACTTTCCCCACCCTGCCTCAACCATGTTCACTACAAGATGACAACTATTCTCTAAAGCTAAAGCAAGGCAATTAGATAGTTTATTTACACAAAAATGAGTCTTAGCCACTTCATACTGAGATGTGCCAGCACGCACAAAACGTTTTTCTTTTTGAATCATGAACGTCTGTGATTTACCAAATCAGACTGCCATGATGAACTAAGAATTGTAACAACTTCTAAGATGTGATAATACTTATTTATCATAGCCTCCCATATTTTGGGCAAAAGGTGAGTTTATGTCCCATGTTTTAAAGTAGGTTGTAGAAAAGTTAATCTCATTATTGAGAGGTGCTATTTTAGATGTGTATAGTTCATTTAAATCTTGATTCACTAATAAGCTTCATTTTCATTTTGTTACTGAATACTTCTTACATAGGACTTAGTTCTGTGTATTGCCAGAAAAGGTACTATGAATAAAGAAGAAAAAATAACAAGACTATTGAAGTTTATGACTGGAACTTGGGAGTAGTCAAAGTTGATTAAAGCTGTTAAGAGTCATTGAGAATGGAGGAGAAAATCTAGTCTTACTAGTTTCTTTTAAAAATGTATTATCAGGGGCTTCCCTGGTGGCGCTGTGGTTGAGAGTCCGCCTGCCGATGCAGGGGACACGGGTTCCTGCCCCGGACCGGGAAGGTCGCACATGTTGCGGAGTGTCTGGACCCGTGAGCAATGGCCACTGAGCCTGCACGTCCGGAGCCTGTGCTCCGCAACGGGAGAGGCCACAACAGTGAGAGGCCCGTGTACTGCAAAAAAAAAGAAAGTACCATAGACTGGACTGTTTAAACAACAGAAATCTATTGTCTCACAGTTCTGGAGACTAGAAGTCTGAAATCAAGGTGTCGGTGGAACCATACT